GAAACAATCACCCTCATGCGCGAGTATAAAGCAAGGTATGCCTTCAGGTCTTTCACATCAGTCAACTGAGAAAATGCTTCTTCTAGCTTTTTCAAGGTTTTCTCTTTGTTTTTCTCTACTGACTTTGAGCCTTCAACCACCTGCTCCTCTGGCTGTGGACCAGGCTCATCACCAGCTACACATTCATCCTCATTGGATTGGCTACTGACAAAACTGTCACCATATAGAGGATCAATCATTGTCAGTGTCCTCTCCTCTTCCTCAGAGCTGATGTCCATGCTGTAAATAAGCATCAAATAAATATTTTATTCCTGAAAATAAATTCACTGAGATAATAATAATAATAATAATAATAATAATAGAACATCTGACAATGATAGTGGTTCATTTTTACAAGAAGTGCTTATAAGAATTTCATGTGTAATAATTATGACAAGATAATAACTGTCAGTACAATCATGCATAGTCTTCACAAGAGTTATTTGTTCCAGTTTATACCTATGACATAACCAAACATCATACCTAGCTTCATTAAAATGTTGAGTACCATCAGTAGTCTCATACGGTTCATTTTCACCTAAACTCCACTCGCCAGACTCACTATGTTCTTTCACAACCTCTTCACTGGACATGTCTGACTCCTGTGGAGTTCTTCCAAAATGACACTCATGCTACATGTACAGAGTGTAAAGATTCATAAATTTGAGTATTTTGGGAGTGTCTCCAAAATTCAGCACATAATTCCCAAATTTGAGAATCAGAGCTGTTATTTGCACATGGTTTTGCTTGAGGAGCATCTGTTCGAGCTCACCCCCCCCCCCTGTCCAGCCACATACAAACAGCATTAACATATTTTTAGGCTCTTCCATCAACATACAACTCTTACTGCAGCATGCTCATGAGAAGTCAACATGTCCCAGATGTACACAGGTATACACAGGGTATACAGTATAGCCACATGTGAGCATACCTTTGTTCCAGCTCAAAATATTGGTGGTTGTTGAAGGCTGAGATGGCAAGGACACTTTCAGCTGCTTCACTTGCATTGTCACTGTCTGCACTATCATTTTGATCAGGACTAAGAACAGAATATGGATTCCCTGCCAAACTGTTATTGGCTTGTGCAAACACCTCCAACCTTGATTTCTCTGGATCTCCAGTGATATCAACAAAACTTGAATACAATAAAACAATCAAGCATAAATACTTGCAGCCATCTAAAAAATAATTATCACACATGTTGCTACCGTTTTTTGTATGCACTAATTTCTGGAATCAACCACCAAAAAGGTCCATGAAAAAAGAGTCACAACCAATACAAACTGTACACAAATCACGTTTTGTTTGAATCACATATCACAGTATCTCTAATAATTACAGTAGCAAAAGCTATTTGGCACAAAAACTCAGTAGAAAATATNTTTCATAATTTCTTTATTACAGGAATTCCTTGCCCCTCTTCAGAGAGAAGCCACACTTCTTTCCGTATTGACCGAGGATTCTATGAGTTCTGAAAAGAGCTCCTTATTAACACGCTGCTTTTCTTTAATGCTGTACAGGGCAGAATTTTAAATGTTTGAGATCTTGTTGTTTCCGTTGCTGCAGCAAACGAAGAGTGTTACGATTAACCTGTTGTGATAAACGTTGCCAATGGTTACGTATTGTAAGTGCATTTGTGAATGTGATAGATTTAACAATATTACTCCAATTCTAACTCTCTTACGATGCCCGATAAACGAAAAACTCGAAAGAAAGCTCCCCATCTGCAGAAGCTGACGAAAGTCACAATCGCGTCTGCCAGACGCCAATAAGTTGAGCCGAAACTCCGAGCAAGAGAAGACGTTTATTGACCGAAGGCAAGAGACATACATAAAAAGAACGAGCGGGAAAAAAAAAGAGCCGCGTTAAATATATGCACCAACCGTGTGACAACGAGATGAACTAACCAACAGCGTGCCTACGAAGCGGAACAATGAAGCAGGCTAAAGGACAGCGTGCACAATGTGTCACGTCATCCAAGTTAATGGCGAGAACTAAACAACAATGCGAAATATGGCGGGAGACATACTCGAGTGTTGTCCAAGAACTTCTTAAAGCTCAGGTATGCATCATGAAGTCGTTCATGGAATCCGTATAAAATAAAATATCTGTATCATGTAATATCCGTATGAAATAAAAGTGCAGATTAAAGTGATCCAAGTATAACTTTGTAGTTGAAGTAACATGCATTGTGCATGCAGTATGTTGTTTTGCTGCGGTTGCTTGACAGAAGTAACTTGACGTAATCTTGAGAGACTGTTCAGTAAGCTGTATTCTTCATCGCAAGAGAACTGTAAGACAGTGCTGTTGTCATGTACACATGTCCTCTCTAAGTGGTGCCTCTGAATGAAGTCTATTTGAAAAGAAGGGAAAAAAAGGAACATGAATTTTGAAATTGTAACAGTACTACAGTGATAGTCCTATGAAAAACAGGTCTACTAAATGGATTTAGTAAAATAATTCGTAACAACTGATGATACTGGATAATGATTCACATTTCACAAGCCACTTCTTGACTAGCTTTCAATCAAAGACAATTTGTTTACTTTATTATGAAAATTATTGCTCTAATTATTATTGCTATTAGTACTATTACTGCTGATTTCTAATTAAATGAAAGCAATCTTGTCATTTGTGTGGTCTGTTTCAAATATGAATCTATACATGTATGTTGGCTAATTTTCATTTGACAGTAATGTAGAGCCTTGCCTTGTGACCAAGACTCTGGCTGACTGAGTTTATTAGTATTCTTTGAATCACTACGGGGTATCAATTTCTATGTTTTGTCTTAAAATCTGACTGAATTTTCCATAAAAAATAATCAGTTAATAACACTAAGAAATGAGACCCATATTGCGCTATGATCTGTGAAGTCTCTAAAACACCTGCTTGTATATTTAAGTGAGATGTTTGTAAATATATGATCAAT